CACACACACACACACACAGACAGACAGACACACAGACACAGACGGACAGACAGACACAGAGGCAGGACTTGGTCCAGTCTTGATGACAGGCATCATTGGAACAATGAATAACAACGTATTTAGTAAAGCATGGTCACATTGCAAAGCCAAACCTTTTTCTCCTGACTCAGTATCTGTGACTGTCAGAGGGTACCTCCACATCTGGACAAATTCTGGGTCGCATTCTGAAAATACGAGAGGACACAGCCAGAATCAGCCCAGATGTGGAAGTGTATGGGTCTGACTGGGGCTGGCAACACAGGTGCCTGAAGCTTTGACTAGAATCATTTTGCCATCTGACCAAGCCTAACCCTTACAATCAATAATGTGTCACTTCTGCTCACATAAGAAAACAGATGTTATGGAAAATGATTATTTCACACGATTCCCTGAAAAGGCTCTCTACTTAATTATTTGGTCATAAGACAACCTCTGAAGAGTGGCACACATATTATGGAAAGCAGCCATCATGGAGAAACCCTCAAGTCCTTATGTTTGTGTCCTTATGTAATTACATCGTATCGTCACTGCTATAGCTGCTTTAATGAAGCTCACTGTGTCTTCCCAACTCTTTTTCAGAGGACCGTGAATCTGCAGTCCTGTATACTAAACAGGAGAACGAGCTTTCCATCATGAACTGCGACATAGATGGTATGTCTGCTCAAGTGTCCAAAACAGTATGAGAACATGAGACAAAGCATTGTATTTGTGTCTAAATAAGGTCACTGTGTGTGTGTGTTTTAGGAGACATGGAGAACCAGGTGGAGATGGAGGAGAAGACGAGGTTAATAAACCAGGTTTTGGAGCTTCAGCACACACTGGAAGGTAAAACACACACTTCACTCTGTATCTGTCTTCTCTGGGGTGGGGGGGGGGGAAACCCACATGGTTTGTTAAAGGCTTCAGAATACAACAGATCTAATAGGGTCTCCAGTTTAAATCATTTGACATCAGAGGTAGCGCTGTGTGAAATCAAGAAAATCACATTTCATATCCAGATAATGATACATAATGTATCATACTGGGGCCATGTCTTAGCAGATGTAAACTGTAACAGAAGCCGTTATCTCTCATGTCTGTGATTCTTGGCCATATGGTGAGATTCAGGGCAAAGCTTCTATTGTTCTTACTTTTCTCACAGTTATAAATCAGTAAAAATCACAAAATACCCAGTATATTTCCGTGTCCTTGCAATTATTAGTTTAATTTTCATTTTTTGTATTTCATAAATCCAGTATCAAAGGGAATGGAAAAAAAGATTCATAGAGTATAGTATTCACTTAGTGTATTGTATACTGCTTATGAACACATCTACTCCCACTTATATAAAGCAACTGAAAGGGGGATACATTAAACTAACTAATGATAACCAGGAGAAACCAATGTCAAAGTATTAACATCTGTGTGTGGGGTTTGTGTTCAGCACTCGACTCTAGTTTTGTTGCTCTCATCTCTTTGACTTAATTCTTTCATGGTGGTAATCGAGGTAAATGGTTTTATGAGTCCTTTGACTGGTCTGCAGTATATTTTGTATTTTATGGTTTTCCGTCTGGTCTTTTCTTAGCCAAGCCACGTCTATGTGATAGGAGCAGTTCCTGTTTAAGGTCCAAGCTCTTTGTCTTGTTTCTCTGCTCTCCCCCAACCGTTCTGGTGGTTCTAGAGGTTTCTTCCAGTTAATGAGGCAGTTTTTTTCTCTCCAGTCGCCAAAGTGCTGCTCATTATGGGAACTGTTGGGTTTCTCTCTCTAATTTTTAAGGTCTTGACCTTCTGTGTAAAGTGCCTTGAGATAATGTTTATTATGATTTGGCGCTATACAAATAAAATTGAATTGAAAGTCTTAAATGTAACTTGCAGAGAACTGTGCATGGATGATAACATTTTCACCAAACACCTGTGTGTACGTGCCAGTTCTACAAAGACAAACTCAAACACTGTTTCAGGATTGATGTTTGGAAATGCTGGACGTTTCACTTTGTGCTGATGCTCTTTTCTCTGCGCTGCTACTCTGCTCTCTTGATATAATCATCAGTGCTAATGCACTCACTGCACTTCTGCTTTGCTCTCTCATCCCTCGCTCACACACAGAAAATACCACATAGATAAGCACATGGTTTTGTTCAGTAGATGACAGACAATCTCAGTTCAAGTGATGAGAGTTTTAATGTCATGGAAATCTTTTTCACGTAGAAAAAGGGTTTTCACACAACCGTCAACATCATTTCATGTTTAGTGTTGTGACAAGAAAACATTGAAGAAACTATTTTCTGTACTGTGGCTGTTTGCTCACTTACTTTCCCTCGGCTGAGTTTATGGGGTTATTGGTAAAGTCATTGGCTGTCCAACTATGTAACTAACTTTTGCAGCTCTAGTTTGAACCCCTCTCTCAATCTTTCCTCTTCAATTTGTTCCATGACTGTTTCTGTCACTTTTTTTAGTGAAGAGTGGAGTACAGCACGATGGATTTCTCCCAGGAGAGTCCTTAATATGGCTCATTTTTTATTTCACTGTCCACCATATGCAGACGTCACGTCATATGGACTTTCTCTTTTCTACTGTAAACTGACCCTAAGAGAGGGCAAGTAGATATCACACGTGTTTCAGTTTCCTGTCGTTAATCTCTGTTCCAGACCTGTCGGCACGAGTCGACGCAGTCAAGGAGGAAAACTTGAAGTTGAAGTCTGAGAACCAGGTCCTCGGTCAGTACATCGAGAACCTCATGTCGGCCTCCAGCGTCTTCCAGACAACCGACACTAAGAGCAAACGGAAGTGAGCTGTGAGCCGATTTAAAAACCTGAGGTCCCAGGTCAGCGGCTGGGAGAGGAAACCCACCGAGAAGACATGGAGAGGGGTTTGTTTCCTCAGCGGACCTGACTGTTTCCTGTAAACTCTCTTACCTGAGTCCAAACTAACAATTTAATCATTCAAAACATTAACTGACTTTATCGCCTGTCCAGTTGGCTCAGAAATTGATAAATATCATGTTTGTGTGGCCCAGGTCTTTTTGGCAGACAAGGTAGTTTTTAAGTGTTTTAAAGTGTTTAAGGATCATTCGTACCATGAGTTTCTTCTTCGTCTGTAAAACAATTCTTAGATTTGTTTCGCCTGCTTGGTTTTCAATTTGAGGACAACTCTGACATTTCTGTGGTTCTCAGTGTTCTCGTCCCGTCTGATCTGTAGGTTGGCTTAAACAAACCTTAAATATTACAAATAACAGTTTGACCACCAACCTCACCTTTAACACTGATTTATTTAATTTATTATTGTACAGTATTTTCTACGTCAGCTGGAACTGAGTTCGTAGTAGCTCTCAGATGTCATGGTGTCTGTGTAAAGCATGACCGTATTCCTCCACTTAAAAAGCTGAAAAACTGGACAGTGTTACTGAAAATGAAAAAAATAACATATGGCATGTGTGAGTAATACAACTCTGCAATGGTTTTAACGGTTTAGCGTATCTAATGAAATTGCATTAAAACAATAGTCATTGAAATGAACTTAACAATAGTATGTGGATTCAACTGTACATACACGGAGAGCTCTGCATCAGTGAAAGTTAAAGCACACAGAAACTAACAAGCTTCTTAAAGGTGTAAAGCTTAACTAACATCAGTGATGATTTTTATTGTGAGTGATGGAGTTTGGAATCAACATGACACTGTTAAGACCTGGTGTTAATATCAGTCCTGAGATCGGATCGCACCTGGAATTAAGATGCGTCCTTAATGTGTCCTGTGTCCACTTGTAATCTAATCTCACTTCCCTGCTCGAGACACAAATAATCATGCATGTTGTGCTCATGAAGACGAAATAATGTAGTTTTAACCCCACAGATGTGTCTGATGTCAGTTGGTATACAAGTTGAGTGCGTCATCATACACTAAATAACATAATTTTACAATAAGCTCTAATACAGACATTTTTATGATTAACGTTCATACGTTTTAAAGTATTTAAATATGCCCGTCGCACCTGATCCTTTATTTGCCCTTCGTTACTATGCAGACATTGGTAAGAGGCGTCACTGTGTTGTTTAAATGCGCTAAACACATAAATTAAACACATTTAGTTTTACAGCATCCATGTTTTAACACCTTCTGACTTGGAAACACATCAAAGTCTGGACAACTACGCAACAACTCATAAAATGGGACCTTCTGATAAAAAAAGAAATCACTGTGGTCAACGTATGGGCACTGAGAACAAGAAAAACAGTTAGTAAAACCAGGTCAGACGAAGTTCAGCTTAGTAGGCAATGCTTCATTTGTGGTCCAGGATGCATTTGTGCAGACACAAGAATGTGGTCTCAGTCCATCTCTGAATGTGATCAGATCTAAGGACACACTTGGCTACGTCCTCACTGAGGACGGATGTTAACACCAGGTCTGAACAGGGTCCATGACACAAGATTTTCTGTCTGTGCTTCAAAGTATTTGCCTTTAAAATGATCAAGTCATACGTTCATACGTGACTTTAATGCAAGATTATTGGAGTCAGTGATTAGGTCACAAAGACAAACCCTGCATGTTAGTCTGTGTCCTTCTCCTGAAAAAGTGATGGGGAGGAGGTGATTAGAGACAAAAAGAAAAAAAGAAACAAGATACTTTCTCCTTATTATCAAGAACAAGAGCAGTAGAGAGGCCTTGAGTGCTTATTGATCCACTAAGTCAGGTCTGGAAAACATCACCTGCTAGAGGATGGGTCTGACCGTAAAATGTGATAATGTCCTGACTGTACAGCGGGAGGGTGTGTCCTCTGCTGCCTCAGTTAAAAAACAAAGGGATAAGTGGTCGTCAGAGATGAAGAAGAACATTATCTGAACAAGCTTTTTATTTCCTTTAAACTTAAGTATCCTGTAGAATAACATCTGGAGATTAGTGATTTGTGTGTAAACATCCAGGGACTGAGGTGCTGTTTGAAAAGTGATGTTATAGGAGGCTTTAAACAATGTATATGATGTAATCTATTGAGGTTATTTAGGTTTTTTTAACAGTTGTACAGTAGTTCATTCATTAGTTTGATGTGCTGAATATGTCCTACCTGCACACACCCTGGTACCATCTTATCTTGTGTGTAGACACCCTGCACCTTAGCATTTCAAATGTTTTTTTTCTGTTTTAATAAAAACCTAAGATCACCCTAATTCTCTGGGTCTTTTGTCACTTACACGATCGAACATTTTACAGAAATGTGAAGAAGAAATTAGATCAGTCGATGTTCTTTGTATTAAATTGTTTTTATTTCAAGAGCAATGTACAATTTGCAAACAAATGTAAACAGAGAGTTCTGCCAGAGGCAAGAATGAACAACAAAAGCATAATAGAAAACAAATAAATTAGCATCAACTTCTTTCCCAGCATCTATCTAGATCCTAACTCCAACTAGTCTAGATATTATGGGAAAGCACTGCTTTGTGCTGACTGAATGAGACATGTCCTCACAGGTTTAATATCCACAAACCCACATATTCATTCTGTCTTTGACGAAATGATCTATTTCTTCTACAAGCGATGATAAACATTTCAAACAAGCTGAAGCTCAGAATAAGGTCATCAGTGGCATCTTCAGAACACTGCCTCGAGTCATTCAAAACACTGCATTAATAAAACAAATTTTAAACAAAACCAATAAATAAGGTTATCTGTGCTAAAACTTGATTTTTGAACTGCTATAACTCAGTAAAATACACATAAAAGAAACTGATGCTCCTGACAAACTAGCTAAGATCTAAACAGAACATCCATTTTAAAGAGTTAATTCTATATGAAACCTAAGCTGAGGCGACTTCACAGAGATGCTCTGACACTGCAGTGACGTCTCAGACAGCCTGGCATCCTCTGGCCTGTTCTCGAAACCCGAACTATTTCAAATAATGAAGGAACTTAATTCAAACTGTGTCCTCACACAAGTTCATCATAAACAAAGGACATGAGAATAAAGTCTAACGTCTGAGATGTAGCCCCTACGATATGCTGTGAAATGGTACAAAAGACTGGAGTCGGCAGCAGAGCACACACTCTGTGTGCTGCCTTCACTCTCAGAGGAGACAGATCTATGATGGTGCATGTTCAGAAAGACGACTGACAGCAAACACGGGCTGAACGGGAGCAGAGGGGGAAGAGGCAGGGGGAGGGGGTGTTAGGCTGACAGGCATTTTGACAGCAATGGCTTATAGAGGGGTGGGGTGAAGAAAGCGTGGAAGCTCAGAGGGCAGAATGGGAAAACAGCTTAACACACAAAATCTCTATGGGATTCATGTGATGGTGGACTGAGTGGACGCACGAGGAGATAAAGGATGTGGTTTGGGAGACTGTGGACCTGTGGTGGGTGAAGCCGAGGGATGGGTGAGACACAGATGGAGCAGCCAGGGTGACTGCAGGCTACCAAGTGGGCTTGGAGGAATTACATGCTGCTCCACACAGAGGGGGGAGCCGCGGCCATCTCCTCCCCTTTTGGGGGAGCGAGGACACAATAGGTGTGACGTTCATCTCTTCAGTCTTTCCGTACCCGCCTCTTTCTCACAGCTTGTTTGTGGCTCTCCTCACCGACATCTTCACCCTCCTTCTGCTGGTGGAGAGAAAAAAAGAAAGAAAAAAGCTAAATTGATGAGACATAAACATCCTCATCAATGGACATTTTTATCAAGTCATGCCTTAGTTTGAAAAGACTGTACATGTCAAGTGTAAGTGACTGAAAATGAAAACAAGCTGCTCAGGGACTCGCTGCACATTTCTCACTAGGACAAGGACACAGTGTCAGAGACATGAAGCAGTCTAAACAGAAGGGAGGTGAGTGACTGATCCTGTTCTGCATGTCGTCTGCAGGACAGTCCTCAATTGAGACAATATCAGTGACTGTTATACGTGGACACCAATATTGATCATTGATCATCGTTGTTAACATGAGTTACAGAGTATTGCTCCAATAATGACTTGCGTCTTAACGTCTGATGTTATTCCAGTTTTAAAACCCCAACCTGAAATAGTTTCATATACGATGCTACCATAAAGCATTTTGGGTATTTTCTTTCTAATTTTGCAAAAGTTTTTTATTTTTCGATTTTATTTATACTCATGGAATATGTTGTGTAACAGTTGGTAACTATAGTAGGTCGTTGTCATATTCAGACTATTGGCTTAATCATGTAGTTGATATAAAGTAAGCAAAACATTTCAAGGACCTGGGTATTTAATATTTTTAAAGTTTCTTGTACCAGGATGACATTAAAGCCAACACATAAATCATAACAAGCTGTGACCTCTGTGGTTTTGAGAAACTTAATACAAAACATGATGTTCTGCCCTTGAGCTTTAAACTTAAACACATTACCATGAATAAAACTGTTACTTCTGGAACAAACCAGCCACTCAGACCCTGTTGAGACCTGGTATTAACATCCGTCCTGAGAGATCCGATCACAAGTGGTCAGTGCTAAATAGGTCTGTTCAACCCTGCTATTAAAATGTGTCCCCTGTGGCCACTTGTGATCAGATCTCACTCAGCTCTATATGTTAATAATCTTGTATATCATTTGTGTTCACAAAGGCAAAATGATGCTTTTACCCAGTTAGACTTTACAGATGTGTCAGATGTTTGTGCATATGTGTTGCAGAGAGCGACAGAGATAGAGATAGAGAGAGAGAGAGAGAGAAAAAGAGCAAGCAGAGGTAGAAGGGGCTGAATGAATGAATAAATGAGCATCTGTGAAGAAAGATTTTATCAATTTAAAAATGGTGGTGGCTGCAAACAAATCAGTGTATGGACAGTAGGGGTGGGCATTCGATTACATTTTCTTAATCGATCGTCGGGAGAATTAACCATCAATTATCGATTAATCTTTTTTTTTTTTTATTAATTAAAATACATTATTTAACTTTTTTATATATTAAAAATGCAATGAAAATACAAAATACAGCGTGTCCCTGGATGAGACCTGTATTATGAGAAGAAGAATTCTTGTTGCAGTTAAACTGACGTTCAATGGTTAGACTTGAAGATGTGTGCTGCGGTGCTCTAAAGCAGAGGAGCCTGCAGCTGTGAGCCGGCGCTCTTAAACACAATTGACCCTCATTTGTTCCAAAATAATAATAATAAAGATAATCATGTTAAACAATAACTTAACCAAAATAATAATAATGCTTAGGTCTGACAGGTTTTGTCAAAATGGAACTCAAAAACTATCCAAAAGGCACCGAGTCTAAAAAGAGGGTGAGAGAGATCAGCTAGGCTACTTAACCTAGCCTAACTCACATACAACTTCAGCACCAGTCTACTCATTTTTCTTGCTAAAGATAAGCATGTTAACATGCTCTGGGGTCAGACGCGACCGCAGCCTGGTGACCGTCAGTCCAGCCGCCGGAAACACCCGCTCTGAGCGGACTGACGTTGCCGGGATGCATAGGTACCTCCGCGCATTATTCGATAGTTTATTGACACAGAGTGAATCCTGCAGATGAAGTCTATGAAGTCAGGAGGAGGAACTAACTTTTCAGGTGCTTCAGTACTGGCGTTACTTTCCCGAACCGGAGTCCACATCATTTTTATTTACGGTCTGATTTGATACTGTAGTTTAAAAAAATACTCAATTAAAGAAAAAACATGTAACATACACACCTTAAGAATCATCATGACTTCCAGGCACTGTGTGACAAAGGCTTGTTGTTGTTTAAACATCACTGAGGGAGCACCAGTTATTACAGGGGACGTTTTCTGGTCGAGTCACCTCCGCAGCCTTGTGATCGTCAGTCCAGCCGCCGAAAACACCCGCTCTGAGGGGACTGACGTTGCCGGGGTGCATAGGTACCTCCGCACATTATTCGCATTATTCGAGCATTTTATCGATAAAAAAATAACGTGATCGATGAAATTCTAAACGATCAATTATCGATTCGTCGATTAATCATGCCCATCCCTAATGGACACTGAGAAGCACAATAAAGGCATTAAAACTGTAAGGGGTCAGAGGACGTCAGCTGCGTGGGTGGTCCTTCATATGTGGCCCAGGATGCAACTGCATTCAAACAGTGAAAAGAGTGTGGCCACATGCCTCCCAGACCACCTCTGAATGTGGTCTGAGTGATTGGATCAAAGACACATTGAGGATGCATTCATTTGAGTTCAGATCTAAACTTAGCACTGAGCCAGAAGAATAACGGATGATGAGCAACATTTTAAAAATGAAAGTAAAGTGGAATAAAGAGAAAGTAGTATCAGTTCATCCTGTAGTGCAGTTAAGAACAACTCAAAGCTACACCAACCTCGTCTTCTAATGTTCTCTCTGGAGCTTGGCTTTCCTCTTCTCCTTCCTCCTCTTCTTCATCATCATCCCCCTCTAGATTGTCCCCTCCTACATCTGCATCCTCCTCCTCCTCCTCCTCCTCTTCTTCTTCTTCCTCCTCCTCCTCTTCAGCCTCTTCTGTTGCTTGAGAGCAGAATACAGATCAAGACAATGAGGATCAAGAAATACGATCTAGAACAATGTAGCAGTCAAAGTAAAATCCTGTGGAAAGTAAAGCAGCAGATGTCTGACCTGCAGCTGCTGCTCCTTCTGGAGCCTCGGCAGCTTTGTCTTCCTCATCTACCGCTGCTGCTGCCTCCTCTTCCTCCTCCTCCTCCTCCTCTTCTACATCAGCCTGGGGCACATCCACCTTCTTGTACACGTAGTCATCCTCTGATTTCTGGGACAGACACAGAAAATTTAGAGGCATTTCTGTTGTATTTGCGCATTACACAGATATATGATCTTAACTATACAATAGATCTTTTACACAGCAGGTTCATAGTACCTTTGGCCAGCAGAAGAGCACAGCCAGTCCTATGGGCAAGCCTACTGTCAGTATGTAGACCACCCAGAGCCACGGTCGTTCCTCTGCAGCAATCATCAGCTGAGCAAAAATCCCCGGCTGGTGTGTTGAAGAGACAAGAGGTCAGAGAGCAAAGGCAGTGAGCATTTGTAACTCTTTCACTTACAGCGACAGACAGCTTTGTGAGAAATTATATATAAACACAGTGTGAAAGTTAAGTATGTGTACGGTTGCCCTAACAAAACATCCCACTGACCTCATTAGCACTGGCCACCAGTTTCTTCAGCCCCCAGCTGTCAGAGGCCCAGCGGTCAGCCACCTCCTTGTGAGAGGTGATAAT